ACCTCGGTGCCTGCCACAAAAGGGAGCCTGGGGTACCCAAGGTGCAGCTGCCCCTTCCCCTCCTTGCAGGGGAGCAGATGGGGATTAATTGCTGGCATCTGCTGCCTTCACCTCCCTTCACAGCTCAGTGTTACTGAATCCTCTTTCCCAAAGTGTTGCAGCTTATCTTGAAAGAGGAACCTGGTCTGTTTCACTCACCATGAATGGGATCCAGTGACTGTCGTCCCCGCTGTTCATCCTGTGCTGCTGAATGAAGGCAGCTGGCCTGGCGTGTGGAGCAGCAGGAGTCTGAAACTCGGGCTCTTCCCCATTTTCAAGCCTGTCCTGAATGCTCTCTCTGCTCAACCTCGGATCTCCTTAACGTGCTGTCAGACCCAAGGCAGAGAGCACTTTGAGTTGAACCCATTCATGTTTTCCGTTTGCTGCAGCCTGCCGGTCTGTGTTTGAAGGGCTGCTGCACCCTTCTTGGGGGCAGCATTTCGAGGTGGGTGGGTGGCAGTTTGAGTCACTTCATGAGGTCCTGTGAGGCCTCATGGGCTGCTGGCCCAGGAGAGGATCTGCACCGGGGTGCAGGCAGCAGGAAGCTGCAGCAAGAAGAAGGGCTGTCTTTCCCCAGAGCTTCAAAACTGGGGGTTGCCTCAGCGAGGTAAAGAAACCTCGTGCTGTTTCCTCACTGCCTGGGCCAGAGCATCCCTCTGTGGTGTGTGTCAGTGGGGCGGGGACATTGGGGCAGTGGAACAGCCTGTACTGGGGCCGGAGATTGTGACACCAACGTGCTGTTGCTACCATAGCCCTCCTTCTGAGCAACTCAGGAATTCCAAATATTTCCTTTTAGATAAAGGTGACCGGGGGAGGCCAGAATTATCTGAACGTGTCTGGACAAGCCTCAAAGTCCAAACACGAGGCCGGAATGGTCAGAATTGGTACTCGGAGTGCTGGACTTCAGGTGCAGAGTGGAGGAGGTGTAGGAACCCAGCAAGATGCTTTTCCCTAACCTTCAACCCCCCTGCTCTTCTCCTGTAGCTCCTGATAGTTCACCACATGCATTTATCTCTTCTTCAGCAAACACTTCCTTTTCTTAGAAACAGGCTCTCCAAAACCTATGCTTCTTGGAATTGCCTTTCCCCAAGCTGCGTACCAATGAAAAGGGAGCACGAGGGATGGGATGCTGTCCTGTCCCCCTCTGCCCTGGGGGCCATCTCCCTGTGACTCTTTTTTCCCACCCTTGTGGGAGGCTCTGGCTCAGAGTTGCTACCATCTGTGTGGCCCCTGGCACCTCTGTGGCCTCACTGGGTACATTGGGGACATCTCTTTCCATGCCCCTGGAGAACCCTGAGGGACAGAAGTACACCTGAGCAATAAGACTTTTTTCCAGGGAAGATATCTTGATGTGCACAGCATCTTTCTTCTGACCCGAGTGCAGCTGCAGCATCGAGTGCTTTGTGTGCAGCTGGGATGTGACCCAGGGGATGGAGATGGGGGCCACAGCACAGGGGTGCAGTGAGGCTGCTCTGGACAATGCTGTGTCTGCTGTCCTGCTCCCCTGTGCCCACTGGTTCCCATCAGTTCTTCTGCTTGCCACATTCTGTCACCACTCCTCTGCTTGTCACCACCTATCAGCAGGATTTCCTATGCTGTAATTAAAAATATCCCCTCCATTGGTTTAGGGTCTCCTCCCATCCATCGCTGTCTGTTTCCACAGCCTTCCTCCTGAGACTGCTGAGCAGAGCTGGGAGCAGCTGCTCTTGGCAGCACCTACATGAACCAGTGGTTGTGGGCTGCTGAGTGGGAGAGCTGTGTGGCCAAGCAGGGGAAGCAAGACAAGCTGCACACCTTGTAGTGCAGCACCTTGATGTGCAACAGCTTGCTGTGCAATGCAAACGTGTGGCAAGGTGAAAGACCAGGCAGGAATGCTGTCCCAGCCTTGGAACACTGTGGTGAGGCGTGACACCAACACAGTGCCAGCCAGGCTTATCTCTGCTTTTCCAGAGCAGCTGCTTACTGGAACTGCATTCACTTATCAGGGAGCAGAGACCTTGCTGGGAAGATGGCTCAGGGTACAGCACTGCCAGCCCCTGGCTGAGGCTGAGCTGCAGGAGGTCCCAAGGCCAGAGGTGCACAACCCGTAGCCCTGGGGCTCCTGCTCAGCTCTGATAAACCAGGGCAGTGAAGCTCCCTGCAGCCTGCCTTGTTGCTGACCACAGGGCCCTGCACTTATCCTTGGTATTGCAGGGTGATAACCAGGTTCTTGGAATTCTGCTTCCCCTTGGTTTTGCAGGATCAGTGGTGAGGGGCAGCAGCACTTTGCTGCACAGTGCCATCTGCTCAGTTCTGGCCGTGGCTGGGGATGCAGGGCTGGAGAGGCCGGCTTGGCTGGGCCAGGCTGGAGCAGCTGCATTCCTGGGCTGGTGCTTGGCCACACTCCCACAGCCTGGGGGAAGGCAGGGCTTCTTGTCCAGCTTTGCAGCAGCAACTTGCAGAACTCAAGTGCAAAATGCAGAGAGTGCTGCGAGGTGACCCAGAAAGAACAGGGGAGCAGAGGGATCGTGAGGCCTGCACACAGTGATGTTTGCATTGGGATCATGGGCTGTGGCCGTGCTGCTGCTTTTCAGCCTTCAGTGCAGAGTGCAGCCTGACACTGGCTCAGTTTTTCTCCTGCAATGATCACGCTTTGATGCTAATTTTAGAGCCTTGTGGTATTCTCCTTGCAAATCTTTCCTGGCATCAACTTCTCTCATGGCCAGTCCTGTGCTTCCCCCCCCTGCCCTGCGTGCATAATTCAGAGCAAGGAAGCACACGGCGTCTGTCATCCGCTCTATCCCCACCAGTGCTTTCCTGCCTGTGGGAGCCTGGCAGCCTTTCTGCTCCTTCCACCATTAGGGCGGTGAGGCCCTGGCACTGCTGCCCAGAAAGCTGTGGGTGCCCCATCATTGGAGGATGGGGCTCTGGGCAGCCTGAGCTGGGGAGGGGCAACCAATCCGTGGCAGGAATTGGGAACTGGATGAGCTGTAAGGTTCCTTCCAACCAACCGTGATTCTGTTTTTCGGGATGCCTCGGCCTTTTCCAGCTTTGGAAAGGACCAAAATTATCACAGCCTGCACTGTGGCTGAGGAGTGGGCAGCAGAGGTGAGGGAACCCTGTGAGGTCTGGGATCGGGGGCAGGCTGTTCTCCAGGGCCCCCAGCCGCCCTGCTGCTCGCTGCTGGCACTGCAGCCCCACTCCTCCCTGCTCACCGCTCTCTTCTGCCCACAGGAGCGCTTTGTGGACCTGTATGGGAATAATGCTGCTGCCGAGCTGAGGAAGGGCCAGGAGACCTTCAACAAATGGCTCCTGACCGGGGCGACCGTGGCCGGAGTGCTTCTGCTGGGATCCCTGCTGAGCCGCAAGTGACCCCGTGGTTGTGTCCCCTGGCACCAGGATGGCTGCGCCTTCACCGCCACTTCCACCACCCAGCTCCCGAGCACCATCACCATCACGGGGCACTCACCCCGCTCCATGGAGCTTCCTCCCTTGCGCCGCCAGCTCCTTTTATTGTAGCCCCTCTCATTTACCGTTCCGTTGTGTTTTAAAGGCGCTGAGAGCGATGCAGCACTTGAGCCAACAGCTCCCAGTGCTGGGCAGATCCCACCAGTAGTGGCTAGAAGGTGTCCCAGCCCTGAAGGATCCTTTAGATCACTTTGAAAAGAATAAACAGACTTATTTTTGCATGTGTGAGTGCGTGCGTGTGTGTAGATGTGTCACTAATATAAAGTTCCCCAGCCAGAGCGAGGATCTGGGCTCCAGCCTCCAGCAGGGCTCCCACTACCAGCCCTGCCCTGCTGCAGCAGCCTGGCCACCACGGGGACAGGGCTGAGCTTTGCCATCCCTGCCACGTCTCTCAATTGTCCCCTGCTCGCCTGGCACTGCAGTGAGGCAGAGGGCACTGGGAGAAGGCTGATGGTGAGTAGCCCCAGACTTGCCTGGCGGCCCCAGAGCCTCTGTCCCCAGGCACAGAGCTGTACCTCTTCCTCTTACCCCCTCTTCCTCATCCCCCTCCCTCCGATCAGAGTTGCTGCGTGGCACTGCATGCCCTCCTTTGTGCCCCACGTCCGTCCCTCCCCACGCACCCCACACCAGGACCCTGCTTTGCTGTTGGATTGGGGCCAGGATGGAGGCAGGGGAATTAAGGAGCACTTCTCCTTCCCGCAGACACACAGCCAGGTAGGGGGGGTGGCACAAGGGGCTCTCCTGTGGGACCACAGCATCCCAGCAAGCGCAGGAGCAGGGAACTGGGTGTAAAACAGCCAGGGGATCAGGACCCCACAGGCAGCTGATAGCACAGGATGAGGCTCTTGTACATCCCTGGGACCACAGCGGAGGAACGGCTGGGGTAGGTGAGAGCCTATGGGACCAATGTAATGTAAAGCCAACCCCAGGGGTGGGAGCAGGGCTGAGCCAGTGGCAGGAGCTGAGGGCTGGGGGCCACATTCTCCCAGTTTCTGCTGGTCCCCATAGCGCAGGCAGTGGGGCCCCTGTCCTGTGGTGTGGCTGTGACGGATGTGTGAAGCGATAGAGGTGACCACACTGCTTCCTCAGGAGCAACTCCTCATCCCTGGGAGACCAGCAGGGCCCCCCGGCTGTCCCGACGGGCTGGGCTGTGTACATAGCGCCCGCGCTCTGCTGTACATATCCGAGTAGTTTTTATTCATTTGTGAATACTCTAATGCTATTTTTGTTATCTGTATGTCTGTATTTATGTGTGGTGCCATGCTCTGCAGAGGGCTGGGGCCGGGCTCCTCTGCTGATGGAGCACTCGAGAGAGTGGGGTGTGAGTGGGGTGTTCTCCTACCCCCGCTCCCCAGCCCTGCGGGGCGAGCGCTGAACGCTTTGGTTTGCAGGTGGAGGTGAGCCCACAAATAAACTCTGTGATTGGAACCGGTGCTGTGTTTTTTGGGAATGTGACACTGCGGGGCTCTACGCAGGGCTGCCCTTTGGAGGTGGAAGGGGGATGACAGAGCAGGAGCTGAGGCAGAGGGTTCTGTCCCCATTGGGATGGGGGTTACAGCTGTGCCCAGGGGTGCTGAGCAGGACCGGGGCACGGTGCTGCCTGCTCCCCATCCAGCACAAATCCATGCCCATCCCTTCCGTTTCTCCTCACTGGGATCGGGCTCCTGTGCCCGTCCTCGTGCTGTGCCCCCAGTACGAGGACAATGGGGACAGGGTGCCTCCAGCCATGCTCCCTGCCAGGTGCTGGGCTGGGGGTTGCTTTGGGGGCCGTAAGAAGGGGAACGCAGGGCTCAGAGAGGCAGAGTGCTGCGGGGCCCAACCGTGGAGACCCCACCTCGTCATGTATTTCCTCCCTTGGCTCTGCAGAGCCCCCGGGCACGGCGCTGCGGATGGATGCTGTAAGCCCGGGGCTGAGCTGCTCCCGGAGCCACGGGCACGGGCTCCCTCGCGTGGGCGAACCGGGAGCTGCGCGACCGCACCGCGACACGAGAGGGCTGCGGGACCCCCCGAGCACCGCCCCAACCCTATGGGACCGGGGGGCACAAAGATCCGTCCCCACAAGTGAGCGCAGCCGTCCCCACGGAGCACCACGCGGTAATACGGTGGTGATGGCTCCGTAGTGGGACAAGGCAAACACAGCCAGGCTGAGCTGCAGTGTCAGCTTTAATCCCAGCCGATGGGGTATAGGACCCGCTGCTCAGCCAAGGCTGTGAGGGCACGAGATTCCAGTAGGATGGGGATGCAATACAGCATACAGTGCCAGCATCTTCCCACGCAGATGCAGGTCTCAAGGCTTGTAGTGCAGGTCTGTGGTGATGAGCATGAAGCCCTGCATGGAGAAACAGGTAAGAGAAGGGCATGGTGGCACAGGGACAGGGGTGAGGGGGCAAGGGTTGGCACTCACCTTGTGCAGTGACAGGCGTGGGTGCAGCAGGGTGATGCCATGTGGGGTGGGCAGCGGGATGCCGGGACGGAGCCGCTCTGCAGGGATAGCAGAGCTGTGAGTGGAGTGGCACAGGGATAGTGGGGGTTCAGGAGGAGGGGGACACAACACTCACTGTTGGCCCAGGGCACCCCAAACAGCCACAGCCCAAACTTCAGCGTGTTCTCCAGCTTCTCCACCTGTAGGACACCCGTGAGCCCAGCCAGAACATTACCCTCAGCCCCTGGCCCCATGCGGGGTGTTGTCCTCACCCCCCTCCTCATCCAATTGTGGCTCCATCATCACCACTCACCTGCAGTGGGCCCACGTATGACTTCACTTGCACCACGCTGAGGCTGAGAGGAGAGAGGAGTCAGCATCAAGCACAGGGATAGGGCTGTTCCCCTCCATGGGGCAGGGAGGGGCTGAGGACTGGGATAGAGTTTGAGCAACAGGGCAGTGGGCACAGGTAAGAATCAGAAGCAGGATGGACTCTGAGCAGATGACATGGACCCAGGGATGGAAATAGCCAAGAGGTAGAGTGTGGGGACAGATCAGGGAGCCTGGATACACAGCACAGGGCTGGAGACTCACCTCTTCAGCCCCACTGTGCCCCCCAGCCTGTTCCCAGCAATGGTTGGCTTCCCCGTCACATTGGCATCCTGCAACAAGAGGAGAGATCAGCGAGACCTCAGCAGGGCCAGCATCAATCCTGCATGGCCCCAGCATCACCTCGTGTCACCCAGCACAGCCCCAGCACACACAGCCCCCCAGCTCAGCCATCAGGACCAGCCCCCAGCCCCAGTGCTGTGGCAACCTGGCACTCACAATGTTCAGCAGAAAAGCAGGGATTCGGGTGGCATTGGGCAGCACCACAAAGGCCTCAGCAGAGCCGAAGAGAGCCCCATGCAGGGCGTTGGGATGGCAGGAGAGCAGGGGCTGCCGGCGGGCCCAGAGGTGCAGCTCCACAGGGCGGCTGGGGAAGTGCTGCTGCAGCTGGCAGAGTGAGGGCAGGGCTGGCACCGAGCTGCCGTGGCACTGCCAGCACCCAGCAGCTCCAGCAGTGCCACAGCCAGGGAGTGACAACACGCCCCATCCTGCCCACATTCCAGCTGCATCCCATCCTATGTCTCATCTTCCTGCATCACAACACAGCTGTGTCCTGTCCCAGCTGCATCTCATCCTGAATCCCATCTCTCCCACATCCCATCCTATGCCTCAGCCTATTTGCACTCCATCCCAAGTGTCCCATCCCTCCCCACGCCCTCATGGCTCCCATCCCACGCCCACCTGTGGGGCGAAGTTCCCCATGCTCTCTGTGTTCAGCTTCAGGGGGAAGCGCCGTGGGAGCTGGAAGGCAACAGAGGTCAGGGTGCTGTGGGGGCACAGGGGCACCACGGCCAGGACCCCATGGGGCAGCAGCTCTGCCCCTATCCGTACCATCTCAGCAGTGATGTTCCTGCGCAGAGCTCCAGCTGTGAAGTACACAAAGGCTGCAGTGTTGGCGACGAACTCAGTGACAGCCACCAGCAGCATGGGCTCCTCCAGCTCAGGCAGCTCCACAGGCTGTGCTGAGAAAGGGCTCTGCCACCGCCCGTGTACCCCAAAGAACTCTCCCTGCATGGACAGACACATGGATGATATATGGATTGATGAACGTGAGGCCCAGCCCAGCTCCCTGTGTGATGGCTCTACCTTGAGGTCAACGTCCCCATGCTGCTTTGTGATTTCTGGCTGTCCCAGCAAGGAGAGGTCGATGGCAGCAAAGGGGTCAAGCTGAGCAGACACTGCAGGGTGGTGGGGACAGATAGAGAATGAGCCAGACCCTCGTGCCCCACCAGCCCCCAGTCCCACTGCCCCATCTCCCCACCCACCTCGCACATTCTTCAGGCTGTCCTGCAGCCTGCCAATGCCCTTCTGGATCTCGACACAGAGCTGGAAGCAGAGCAGAGTGTCAGGGAGGCTCAGGCTGGGGGTCCCTGAGCTCCTCTCTAGGCACAGGGGCAGCACTGGAGTCACCAGCCGAGCTCACCTTCTTGTTGAGCTGCTGCCTCAGGGTTCTCTGGAGCAGCGGCACCAGGAGGTTGTACAGCCAGCTGTGGGGCACAGAGCAGCGCTCAGCTCACCTCCCCAACCCACCCCCGAGCCACAGCAGGAGCAATGGGGTGATGGTCACCTCTGTCCCTGGTGGAACTCCAGGCGCAGGTCGGTGCCGTGGGCGTCACAGCCGGCAGCCCACATGGAGGGCTGGCCCTGCTCATCAGCACCCAGCCCCAGCAGCACAGCCACCGCCAGGTCCCCGATACGCAGCCGCAGTGAGCCGCTGTCCCGCCTGGGGATGGTACAGCTGAGCACGAGGACAGAGGTGGCCCTGTCCCTGTCCTCACACCCTGGCCCAGCAAGGACTCACCATGCACCCAGCTGTGCTTTCCAGGTGGCACTGAGCTGGATCTGGGCACGATGCACTGTCAGCTGCACGCCCACATCCTCAGCAAAGTCCACAGTGGAGTTGTTCATCTGCAGCTCGTGGATGTGGATCCTGCACACAAGAGGTGGCTGGGGCTCACAGCAATGCCCCGGGGATGGGGAAAAGGGTAGGGACAGGGATGGACGTGGAGATGGGAATTGAGATGGGAACGGGGAGGGACATGGAGATGTGGACAGGGATGGGGATAGAGATGAGCACACATGGGCAGCTCTTACTGAGGCACGGTGTAGTTGAGTCTCCCCAGGAATGGGGTCTGGTAGGAGCCTTGCAGGTTCAGATCGTGCTCCTTCTGCAGCAGCGAGCGAAGCAGATCCAGCCCAAAGCGCCGGCCTGGGGCAGAGCAAGGGGCTCAGGGCTGGCACAGGGGCACCCAGAGTCCCTTCAACACCCAGATCTTCAGGATCTGGACGTGATTCCTAGGGTTCCCCCCCACCAGCACAGCCCAAGCAGGTGCAGACACCTACCATACTCTAGAGCACTCCGGGTCACCCGGCCCTTGATACCAGGGCTGGAGGCAGAGGCAGGCACACAGACAGCCATCAGGAGCAGAAGGCACAGCCACATCCCCAGGATTGCACCGCTCAGCAGGTGGACACGGGTTGGGAGACTTCCACTGGCACCAGGACATCTGCAGGGCCTTGGAGCTGGAGCAGAACACATGGCTGAGAGCACCCGGCCGATGCAGAGCCCAAAGCATCCTCACCAGCTCAGGCCTTATATCGGGGCACATCAACTGACATCAGCTCCCGTGTGCACATCGGGGCCACCGCGGTGCTCCAGACACCAAAAGCCCGGCCTTGCCCAACGCGTGAGTCAGAGGGGAAGCCAGTTCCCCTGCTGTTCCCCGTTTGTGCCTCTCCGGGGAGTGTGGGAAGGAGAGGGTCTCACGCGTCGTCACTTCTGGCCGTGGGCTGCATGGGGATGGAGACACGACCACAACCCTGCCCTCGTGTCCCAGAGGGAGGGGACAGCACATAGAGATGTGTGGGGACCCAGCAGGGCCTCTGCCTAAGGATAACTGAGGAATAGGAGGATGGGACAGCATCGGGCAGGGGATGCAGAGGGGCTGTGCTAAGAGATGGGTTCAGCCTTTATGCAGCCGTTCCCACCTTGGGAGGGCTCTGGGTCATACAGGGTCAAGGAGCCCAGGACACAGCTAGCAGCCCCAGGCACAGGGTGACGGGAAGGCAGGGACAGTCAGAGCGAGAGCAGAACTCTGTGGTCCTGCTGAAAGCCCCAGCGGGTGGTGAGGAGCTGAGCTTGGAACCCACTGCACGCAGGGAACAGCCCACTCCCATCCGAGGAAACCCCCAGCGGGGATGGGGCAGGGGCTGCATGGGGGGAATGCTGCTGGCCTGGAGACAATGAGTGGCCAGGAGTGTGGACACGCACCCACAGCCCGGCTGCAGTGCATCCTTCTTGGGTCTGAGGTCCCATCCTAGCATTGTATGGGACACAGACCCCTGGCCAAACAACGCTGAACAAAACACAGCCCCATATAGTGCACCTTAAAAACTCCTGCCCTCTTCCTCTGGGCTCCCATAGCTGTATCCCCAGGGCCAACTCAGCCACCAGCACCATCCCAGCACCCCAGCTCAGTGCCATCCTGCCCCTCCGACCCCAGTTGCCCCACGCTCAACCTCACCGTGGCCAACAGGGGCAGCAGGTCCCATGGTGGGTCCACTTTCCTTGTGAGTGGCAGCGGGCAGCAGGGACCTGTGACGCCAGTGTCCATCCTGGGGTGGACGGGCTGGTTGAACCGGAACATCACCCATGTCCCTGTGTCCCTAATCCCTTCCGGGATGAGTCAGGCACCCACCGCAGCACCCAGGACCTGTTGGGTGCCCGCAGGGGCCAGGCCCTCCCTGGGGCTTTCCCGCAGATGCTGGCGTGGATGCATCCGGCACAGCGGCACGTGGCAGCGCTCAGCCCAGCCCTGCTGGCCTCATCCCTGCCCTCTGTCTCTTCTTAGCGGTGCCCGCCCTGTGTCCCTGTCACATCATGTCCCCGTGCCTCAAACCAGGAGGATGCCACGTGGCGATGGCACCGAGCAGGGTTGGAGCGGAGGTTTGGGGCAGTGGGACGAGGTGACACGCAGAGCTCTGCTCCCCATGGCGATACACGTGGAGACCACGGCCAGGTCTCCCCATCAGGCAGTGTTGAACCCCTCCGGGCAGCCCCCGCGGGTTCGGCCGTGCAGTGCGAGCGGACACCGGGAGAGGGACCCAGAGCTGCGGGAGCAGAGTGCTGGAAAGGGATCGGGGAGGTGCTGGGAGAGGGGTGGGACAACGGGTGAGTGCAATCCCAGGGACCCGCATCCCACATCCCCCGCTGCTGGCGCCAGGTGGGCTCGGTTGGGCCACATCCCAGTTCCCTGCATCCCTCGCTCTGCTGGGAGGGACTGGTTGTGCTGGAAAATTGCACACACAGCTGTGAACGTGGCACTGTGCAACGGCACTATCGGCCATGCACAGGGATGGGACTGCAGGAGCGATGTGGGTCCCACTGTCCCACTATTCCCACCCCATCCCAGCCAGAGTGGGACACAGCCATCCCCTCCTCAGGGGCACATCACTGTACTGTGGGTATGAACACCTGGAGTCAGCCTGGGGGATGCAGCTGGAGACCCCAGAGCCCAGATTGCCCCCCAGCCCCGCGGGCTGTTCCAGGATACACCATACCCAATGTGAGTACCTAAGCCTCTTCAGTGCCACCATAATTGCACAACCGTGTCCGATGCAATTTCCTTCACCAGGAATGTTGCTCATCTCCTGACCACAATCCCAGGGTGAGCAGCAGCTGCACGGGCAACACCACAGCATCCCAGGCACAACAGCTGCTGCTGCAGCTCCAGGCAGCACGTGGGGAATTGTCCCACACAGTGTCCTCTCCCCGGCTGCTGCAGTGACTCACAGGTGACAGCATGTGAGTCATGGGAGAGCCACGGGCAACCCTGTGAGGAAGTGGGACGAGGGCAGGCCCAGGAGTTGCCCGACAATGGCTCAGCTGCAGCTCAGCCCTGCCCCGAGGTGTGGGACCCAGGTGGGCTCGGAGCCCTGAGCCCGGCACCCACCTGCAGGGGGCAGCTCCAGGCCTCGCTGCTGTTTTCCCACGGCTGGAACCGAAGCGGGAGCCTCTTTCCCTCCAGCCCAATCTCAGCCTCAAACCACGCCAGAACCCAAGGCAGATTAAGCAGCAGGACATGATGGCCTCAGGGCAAAGCCACCGGCTCCACAAGCACGGTGCTGGGACAGGGATGTGACACCCGCAGCCCCAGCAGTGCATCACAGAAAGCCCCAGCCAGCACCCCAAACCCCCCACCCCAGGGAAGCTGTGGCCACCCCAGGAGAAACAAGGATTCAGCCCAGAGCTCCCGGCCCCACAGAGTGCACAGGAAAACCCACAGCCAGCTCAGGAATCCAGGTGTACCCATGCGCTCCCTGCTCCATCCCAGGGTTCCCACTCCCCCACCACCACCACAGCCCAGCTCCAGTGCTGCCACACCGCGTGTACACAGCCCACACCAGAGCAGATGGGCTCCAAGTGGTTTGATGCTCCAGTGCCCAGACCCCCCCTCACCCCCCCAACCCAGCAACCCCACGCAGTGCGGCCACGAGAAAAGAAGTTTGCCTGGTAATCAGGGCTTGTTTAATAACAAAACTCCAGCTATTGTAGAACAATATTCTCCAGCATCATTGTAATATACAATACAGGGAATGCTCTCAGCAATCTGAGAAGGTTACGAGCCGCGGCCGCCGGCTCCGCAGAGGCGTCCATTCCGCGCACTTCGGCACAACCCACAGCTGCGGGTCCCGTCCGTGCGCGGGGGGCCCCGTTCGGGTCCGTGGAGGTCTCTCTCAGCGGCACAGTATGCGGTCGGCAGCGGCCATGCACGGAGCCTGCGGGTGGGGAAGAAGCGGGCGGTCAGTGTGAACGGGGCTGGCACAACAGGACGGGGCGCAACCGGAGGAGGACCGGGAGAAGCGCACGGAGGATGGGAACGGGACCCGGGGTCGGGAAGGGTTCGGAGGGGCCGCACTCACCTCGGGAGGCTCAGCAGCAGCGGGGGGTCGAGGAGGGCCGGGCTGCAGCGCCAGCTGCAGGTCCCAGATGTAGTCGATCACGTGCTGCAGGAGCTCCACTTTAGAGACCCTCCGGTGCCGCGGTAAGGTGGGCACCAGCGCCCGAAGCCGCGAGTAGCAGCCCTTCATGTCATACAGCAGCGCGGCGGCCGCCTGCTCAGCAGCGACAGCTCCTGGGCCCGGCCCACAGCGGGCGGCTTCTCCGGGCCGTACGGCTTTCAGTGCCCCACCGGGACCGGCGGGCAGCGGCGAAGGGGCGGCAGCGGCGACCTTCATATCGAGCGGCGGCGGTGGGACCCTGCGGGCGGCCGTGGGAGCTCCGCGCCGCGCAGCGCCAATTATAGAGCGCCGCCAACGGGGGGCGGGGCCTCGTGGCGAGCGGTGACCAATAGCAGCGTAGAGGAGGCGGGGACAATCGCGCCAGCCCCATTCATGCGCCCCGAAGGGCAGCACCTTAAAGGGACCGCAGTCTGGAGAGTGGAGCTGGGGTGGGGGGGCTCAGAAATGCGGGGGAGTTCTAGGGGGTGCGGGTGCTCTCAAAGTGCGGGATACAAGCAGGCATCTCCCGACCCGCCCCCCTTAATGTCGGCAGTGACACCGTGGGCTCCCGGTGCTGTGTCTCTCCGCACCCCCCGGGATCCCCGCATCCCCATTTCTACTCAGCCCAGCGCACCCCCCGCACTCCAGGACACGCAGCCCCGCGCTTCCCTCAGCCTCTCTCCCTCTTCTCCCTCTCCCAGCCCTGCCGACCCCACGCGCTCACTGCAGCCCCCGGGGCCCCGTGCAGCCCCCCCCCCCCCCTCCTCCCGCCTCCCCAGACCGTTAGACGCCAGGGCCGTGACGTCACCCATTCATAAAACTCCGCGCGCTGTCAGCGCGGCGCCGCGCGGGCGGTGCCCATGGCGACGGGGGCGGAGTGGGGCGGGGGGTGGGGGGGCACCTGCAGCCCGACCCGGGAATGGGACACGGCCACCCCTACGGAGACACGGGAACACGGCCATCCCCGTGGGGACACTGAGACACCCAGCTCGGGGCGCCGGTGAGCGGCACCTGGGGCCGGTTGGGCGGCGGAAACCTTCGTGCGGTCTGAAGACGAAACAGAAACCCAGTCCCTGCCCTAAAGGGCTTCCGATCTAAGCGTTAATGATCCGATTAGCGTTAATGATCGCTACCTTAGCTCACACCTGCAGGGAGGTGCGGTCACGGCTTTGCGGGGGCCGGGCAGCACCGAGCGGGGCGGCTGCGTGGGGACCCCCCCGGCACAGCTGTGGGCCCTCCGGGCACCGTGCGGGCAGCACGGACACGTGGGTACGTAGGTGTGTGCACACACGTGCATGAGAGGTTCACACGCACAAAACCTTGTAGATGCACACACACACACACGCACAGCACACACGCACGTACATAGATGCAGAAACATATATGGACAGATGCACGTGCATACAGGCATGCTGTGCCAGGGGTCGATGCACAGGCATTGCTGTGGCTGCAAGAGGCCGTGCCATCCTGTCCTCATGGCAGGGGTTTGTTGGAGGTCAGACCCCCCCGCGTCCATCCCTGGCTCTGTGCAGAGCCGCAGCAGCCTCCTCTGGAACGCAGTGAGTTGAAGGCTTCCCCTCATCCTCCTCCTCTGCAAAGAGGGGGCAGTCCTGGAAAGCTCTGCACACAGAGGGCCTTTAACCCCATCACCTCCGGCTCTGCCCTGCCAGCCTGGCTGGGGGAGCCGCATCCCCCAGTCCCTCCATCCCTCTGCCCCCGCCCCCCCCCACCCCTCTGCCTTTGTGAGCACCTCCAGCCCTCTGTCACCATCCCTCTGTCCCAGTGCGGTTCCCAGGGTGGGCACAGCTCCGGGGTCACCCCCTCCATTCAGGGCCCCGCGGAGGGCCTGGTGCTGCCCGTTTCCCACCACGGCTCTCAAAGCCACTAATTAGCCCCCATCTGGCGGTGCTGGCCTGGCCGCGGCGGGGAGGCCGAGGACATTGTGCACAGGAATGCCTTTCAGCAGAGCCGGGCGCCCGCCAGCTGCACCGCCAACAATACGGCACGGCTGGGATGAGCCAGCCCTGAGCATCGGCCACCCCGGGTGGTGTGGGGACAGCGATGGGTGTCCCATGGTCGCCCCATCCCGTGGGGTGGCTCTGAGGGACCCCCCTTGGCACGTCGGGGTGCTGGGGATGACAGACCTGCGCCGCTGCCTTGGCTGCAGTTGGGAGCGGGTGCGCCGGTGTCCGCGGGCAAGACGGATGGCTTCATTTCCATCTCAATTCTGGGAAAGGGGCACACGGTTCGGTAACAGCGGCCTCGGCCATATGGCGCTGGCGGGGCGCAGCCTGGCCGGGATTGTGGCTGCTTTGCACCGAGTAGGGGTTGCCCAGCAGCAGAGCACATCAAAGCCTCCGGCCGTTTCCCCCACCGCGGCACCGGAGGGACCACACAGGGCACAGCTGCACTGCCTGTGCTATGGGGACACTGGGGACACTGCCACGGCCCCATGGCAGCACCCAGCCTTGTGCAAGGCTCTGCAGCTTGGCTGCATTTGGGGGGTTGGGGCTTAAGATGGATTTTGCAGCCCCTAGCCCTAGCAGCAGCAGCAGCGTGATAGGCTCAGGAAGGACAATGTGTCCCAGTAGCACAGATTGGGATGCAGACACACGGCTGAGCAGCACGGACCTGCATGGATGCACAGATCTGCAGACACCAGGATTCAGGCTGGCTGTCCTCCAAGTGAATGAAGGCCCCCAGCTGTGAATACACACCCCAAAACCCAGACTGGGGCTTTGCATTGCCTCCAGCTTAGCCATCCCTACACCTACACGTCTCCTCAGCACCCCGCTCTACCCTGAATAGGGCTCCTGGCAGAGCAGAGCACTGTGGAGCCCCAACCTTGCCGTGTGGCCACCAGCACCCGTTACACAGCTGGAGAAGGGCTGAGGCCTGAGAAAAGCCCCCCTGCGCTCCCCTCCCGCCTTCTCCCTTCCCGTTCCCGGCTCCATCCGCTGCAGCCCAGACCAGCTGGAGCCAGGCGGCCCTTCCTGGGATTTATTCCAGCTTCCTGCCCCTCCTCGCCAGCAGGCCGGGGATGGGGCTGCTCTCTCCTGCTTCCTCTCCGTGCTCACAGCCGACGGTCAGGCGCCGGCACTCCGTGGGACCCCGGCTCTCATCAGCAGCACCCCCACAGTCCCCACCAGGCATCTCCATCCCCTGGTGCTGCAGCTGGGCTGGGGGATGCTTGGACAAAGCAGATGCAGTGGGGTGCTGCATCCAGCACGCATCCCCACATCCCTGCTAGGTAAAACACCTGGACGTGAGCGTAAGCACCAACACTTCTTAACTCTGTGCTTGGCATCTGAACCCCCTTTGTACCCACAGCTCATCCCACTGGGGCACAGGGCTCAGCTGCAACCCCTGGCAAAAGGAGCATGTGCCCACGGGCATCTGCATAGCTTCCCAACCTCAAGCTCCACAGCTGCAGCAGGCTGGCTCTGTCCCGTCCCCCAGCTCCACAGATGGAGGTTTCACACTGGAGCCAGGGCGTTTGCATTTCCGTGTCCTCCCCCTAAGCCGGAGGGACCCTGCGGTGAGGGGAAGGTGGCCCAGACAGAGTGGAGCCGTGCAGCCACTGCAGGACCCAGGTGCAGCACGGGTGGGTGAGCCCGGGGCCGCCCAGGCGCCAGCTTTGCTCCCAGCTCTGCTCCCAGCTCCTTGCAGGGCCTGAACACTTCCTTCCTCCAGGCCCTGCCCCGCTTATCGGCCAGGCAGGGCTGGGGTGACCCCGCTCTCCCCTCTCAGTGCCTTCCGCTCCCCATGGTGCAGCTGTGGGCCCTTGAAGAGCTCCCAGCAATCTGTTGTGCTCCCGTTGCCCTCAGCTCTGTGGGCAGGAGCAGGGAGGCAGCAAGCAATGCAAGGGCACAGCCTAGGGTACAGAATGCACCCCAATGCAGTCCTGCGTGCTTCCGAACCCCAAAAACTACACAGGGATGAGTGCAAAAGCATTGTGGCACTAGGATGGTCAAAGCCTGGGAGGATGCAGGGTCCCAAAGGATGTGGTGCCAGACCCACAGACCCGGGCAGGGCACAGCACCCCACGGCACAGCCCGTGTCATTTTCCATGGGATGCTGGAGGCTGCTGAAATCACATCTGGAGTCTAGACTCAGCGACTCCATGGGCCGGGCCTGTCGGCCGCACCGTGCCCAGGCCCTGCTGCACACTGTTTGCTTAGCTGGAGGTATTTAATTGGAATTAAAGTGGCCCCTCTTGTTTTTGCGGACAGGGCTGTTGGAAAAGGAGCTGTAAGTCATAGAAAACATCTGTAGGAGGCTGCGAAGGGTCATTAGATGGCAGAACGCAAGGCGCCACTTTTAGTGCTCACAGCCGACGTGGGGAATAATAGCTCAATATGGCTTTTGTGGAGGGGCTGCCAAGCCAGCGAGCACTTTCTATTTATTCTGGCAGAGGGGACAGCTAGAGAGATGCAGGATCCTCCACATGCAGGCCCTGAGGCAGCCATGGATGACACTGCGTGCTGCAAGCTGCCCACAGCCTCCTCCTACCCCAGGGACTCAAACTTCCCTACTAGGCACAGCAGCTATGGCCCTCAACCTGGGTCTGTGGCAAGAGGCCAGGGAAGGGCAGAGCACTGCAGGAGGGGGAGGTCTCTTGGAAACAGTCAGACCAGACCAGGGACCCAGATCCCAGAGCAAGAATAAGGCTGCTGGAGGGGTCAGGACTCCCATCCGTGGCTTGTGCACCAGGTTCCAGCAGCCAAAAAATCACTGCCCCATTACCTCTCCTTCCTTTGAGATGGTTTAATATGAGAGAAAGCAAATGCACAATACAAAATTTAAAAACCGGCCTGTGGTTTGTCCCCTGCCTGCTTTGCACTCACGTAGGAGACAAAGCAAAGGAGAGTGTGGCTGCACGGCCCCAGGGGGCAGCAGGAGGGGTGGATATGTGGTGTACATCAATACCCCACCTGGGTGGCTGCTCCAACACACACAACACGATGCTCTGGCACAACTGTTTCGTCTGTCACTTGCGAAGGGTCTGGAAGGGCCTCAGCCCAGCGGCGCCAGGGTTGGTCCATGGGCAAGGTCACTTCTCTTTCTTGTCAGCTTCTATCGTCTCCTCTTTGGAGGCCCTCGGCACCTCCTTGGGGGTAGAGCTCTCCTCATAGCTGGGGACAGAGAGATGAGAGCAGAATGGTTATCAGGGTCAGCCCTTCTCTGGGGATGGGCATGTGTCAGTACCCAGCCCAGAGCCTGGCGCACCCAGAAGCCCAGCACTGTGTTTGGGTTTGTCTCAGTACAGTGACTGAGGTCGAGGTGGGCTCCTGCCACTGACCACAGGGAAATGAGTGCTGCCCCACTGCAACCACCCTCAGCCATAGGGGGGAGAGATGGGGGACACAGAGGGGCCAGGCCAGCTCTACAACTGGGCCCTAATGGAAGAAACTTGGGAGCACACCAGGGCAAACATTTCAGCCTCTATCCCTTTTCATGATTTCTACCTCGCAAAGGAGGGGCAGCCAGCCCACAGCAGTAAGGTGACAGCTGCTGCATGGGGAAAGGACAGAGCTGGAACAAGCCCCTACCTGGCCAGAGCGACAAAGAAAGGGCACCGCGTGCAATTGCTACATGGCACTGGGGCTTTGCTGCCGGCGTCGGCGGGGACAGGGCTGTTTCTGCTGCATGGAATCAGCAAGGCTGGCTGGCGAGCCGGACACGGTGGGGAAGTGGGTAAGTCTTGGTGTGTGCGGCAAGATTTCAGCAGAGGATTCATAGCTGCGGGAGACAGGAAGCAGGAAAGGAAAGGGGGAAAGACAGGACAGAAAGGAGAGGGGGGGAAAGAGAAAGAAAAAGCAGAAGAGTTTCTGAGTGAGACAGCTGCAAACCTAGCACCCTGTGCAGGCAGCACAGGATCCCCTCCATCTGCTAGTACCTCCAAGCTGGCCCAGGGCCATGCTGTGAGGGCTGAGACTCAGGGAAGAAGCGGCTCCCGCTGGCATGCATGAAACCGGACAGCTGGAACCTGTGGGGGTACAAGCCTGGGTGCTGTGCTGGCAACGAGAGCAGTACAGGGGCTGTCTGGGCAGCAGACCCCGTGCTTTGTGTGGGGCTGGAGGACAGAGAAGCCTTCCCACACCTGACATCTAAAGACTGCAGAGCAGATGGGAGTGGGAGGCTCAGAAAGCTGAAAGCTGTGCCAGCCAGCTCTGCTCCACTAGGACCCCTTCCCCAGGGCTGCAGCACAGAGCCACCTACTCTGCCTACCCTGCAGCACAGCCTGCACAGAGCCTTACTGCCTTATCCCAGGCACTTCGTGCATGGCCCAGGGATTGACTCAGAGGAGCTGGTGCAGCACAGAGGTGCAGGGAAGCCACACCTGGGTGGGGGGGGGGATGGGGGGGGAGACTCCTGCAGCAGGGGCCCCTGGCCTACAGGTAGGAGCCTTGCCACATCCTGCTTTCTCTGACAGCAACTGGAGTGACTTCAGGAGGGAGCAGGCAGCTTTGCTGCTGGTGCATCCCATGCTCAGTGCTCTACGTGTCCTTATTCCTCCATAGGCAGCTGCCAGGTTCCCCGAGCGTCATGCTGACCCAGGGGCCAACCCTGCAGCTCGTCTCTCCCATGTGTTTCCTGGCACAAAGAGGAGGTGCTGCTGCGAGCAGCTGAGTCACCACACACGGGGAGAGCGGCTGCAGGATCCCAGGTGCACAGGAAGGACGATCCCAGGACACTCAGTGCCTGCAGCAGCGTCAGAAGTAAACATCAAAGCAGGGGCAGGTGCTGCAGGGCTGTGGAGCCAGCCCAGCTGACAGCCCGGTGGGAACACACATACCTGTGTCTCCCAGGGGAGGGGAAGGAGGCCGGGGGCAGCCCTGTTCCCCACTGTGCAGCTGCTACAGCCCAGGTCCCACTCAGGCACTGTTTTCCCTCTGAGCAGGATGGGGGCTTGCACTGATCTCCCCAAGCACAGGAACCCCAGCACCCCTGGTGGGATGCTCCCTTCCCTTCTCTGCTTCAGGTGTCCTCAGGCAAGCAGCTGTGCTGAGGCCACCACAGAGCCTCAGGCACACAACAGCCGAGCACAGTGGATAAACAGCTCTCTGGCAGCCTGGGGTGGGATGTGCTCTGCCTGGAGCAAGGGGACAGCATTCAGGAGACCAAAGCCCACCTGTCTGCAGTCAGTGGGAAATGGCTGGGTAAAACTATTCAAGAGAAGGACTGCAGCAAAGCAAAGACCCCTTTTTCTAGATCCCTTTCTCCATTTCTGCAGACCCAGGGCTGCAAAGTGTCTCCTTTATCCAAGCAGAGAGGCTGGGATGTGCTTGAACCAGCCCTGGCTGCTCTCGCAGCTGGATCCAATTCCATTCTCCCCCACCCACAGGCCCTGGGACACAATGACCAAGTATCTCTGCACCAGGTGTGCGGTCCCACCCTCCCCTGCCTGCCAGCACATGGGAAGAGCTTGTCACCAGAGCGTAAAGCAATACCAGATGCTGCCTGCCTGTTGGTACGGCACCAAGGCTCCCACACGACTATGAGGAGGTGGCTGGAGCCAGGGCCAGCATGTAGAAACACAGACCCACTCCCTCCGCCTACACACATGCACTCACACACACCCAGAGCATGCCCAGGTGAACCCGTCCCTCCAGCTGTGCCCAGGCCTGGGAACATCTGCACGCTTCATGTGCTCCAATGCCACAGGCAAAACAGCTCTGTCCCCAGCTGAGGCTCACCTGAACATTTCGGTTACTTCTCCTTTTGCCAAGGCCACAAGAAGCGGGAATCCAATGCACGCAGGGACCAGGTACAGAAGAGCAGGCTGCCAGGAAGGAAAACAATTGTGAAACCAAACCACAAATTAACCCAATCCTCAGTAGGAGGGCAGGGAATGCTGGCCTTCTCCCTCTGCACCTGTGGCATCTGTCACAGATTGGTTAAAGCTCCAGAAAGCTGCTTCAAGAGCAGCTAATTTTTTCTTCTAATATGGCCCCCACGCAGACTAGCAAAAGCACCCGCAGCATGCATGCTCCTAGAATTCCTCCTGCTCTGCAGTTCAAGGCAGCTCAGCTGCAAAAAGCCCCCAAAGCACTAACCCAGATGAGAGACGCTGCCTGCTCCAGCAGGGCTCAGTTCCAGAGCTCTGAGCAGGGGAAAAGCAAAGCCAAGAGAAGGAATGCATCCACTTTTTCCTGGCATGCTGTGGGACACTTGTGGCCAGGCTGGCGTGTCAGTCTGCATGCATCTGTGGGAAGCAGCAAAGCAGAGCTTACCTGGGCATGCTTGAAGATGTGCATGATGAATATGGTCAGGCCCAGCCCAAAGATGTAGGCCACAAAGCTGGTGTAGAAATACGTGTGCGTGTTCTTCTTTAAGCTGTAGGGAAGGGAACAGAGCAAAACTTGTCATGGGTTGGGGCTCTGGGGTGCCAGTGGCTGAAAATGAGCCAGCCCAGCTATGCAGGGCATCTCCTGCCATGCTTTGTCCCTGCTCATGGGCCACCAAAGACATTGCCACCAGCACAGCCCCCACTCCCATGAATGCAGTGCAGGCCTGGATGGGTTAATGGCAGTGCACGGTGGTGGGAAAGGGAAGGAGATGCACGACCCTGCTGCTGGATAGCTGCAGAGCACAGGGGTCAAGGCTGGGACACAGGAGGGGTCCCACAGCTGCTTTTCCCTGGCAGCCTGCTCCAGCACATGGTGTTTTATCATGGGCAGGCTGCAGGAGCTGGGATTCCCAACAGGTGCAAGCAGGATGTGGGTGGGAACACCTGGAAACGCTGGCACAGACTGGGAGGGTCTATGCAACAACAACAGGAATGAGGCCACACCATGGCAGTGGCACGAAGCTGCCCGTTCCCAGCTGCTCCTGAGCTGGAGACTTTCGGTGTGGGGTAACTGCTGAAAGCTACACCCTGGTGGCAGGTGCAGCTCCCTGCGTAGGAAGGAGCTGTGTTCCCCAGCATCTGCCCAGAGGCAGTGAGCACTGCCAGGCCTTGACTGGCACCCGTGTGAGCAGCGTGTCCCAGCTGCCAGCATCTCAGCTCTTTCCCACGCTGTCTCTGCTTCTCCTCTCTCTGCACAGCTCTTGCACTTTGGTGCGTGAGCCAGCGAGGCCCAACAATGCTGCTGACCTGGCCCCCTCCCAAGGTTTGCCCTTCTGCCCTACGAACAGCAACGCTCACCCCAGTATTCAGGACTTACCCACACCCCAGTCCTGTTCATCTCTGTTTTTCCAAGAGCTTCCTCCTGCACCTCCCTCTTCCAGCTGCTCTTCCACATCCCCACCCCAAGCCCCAGATGAGAGCACAACTGTGCTCCCAGCTTGTCCTTTTCCTCTACAATAAATAGCTCACGAGACTGCAAGATTCAACCTGTCAGGTCCCTTCCCGACCACCCACTCACCTGATGTCAAAGCGCAGCAGCAAGGCGATGAAGATCCCTGCAGGGAGAAGGGGAGAAGATGGAGCCAGACGAAAGGCTAAGCAACCCCATTGCCCCCATGCGGCCATCCCTGGGCTCACAGTGCCCTCTCGTGGCACGAGGCACAGGGACAGCACTGCACAGTGCCTGGCCGTGGTGGGACACCCACGGGGCTCTGGCACACATGCAGCACCCAGCCCTAGTGGAAGGCTGTGGGGCTCTGGCAGGACAGAAGGCAAAGCAAAGTGAGGTGGGGAAGCTGCCTGCTCAGCTCCCCATGGCTAATTCAGATGCAATCCCGGTCCTGTCCTCCCTCTTGTGTCCTTACCTGGAATGACAATGTCTCCCAGCCCCAGCATGGCAAAGTTGTCAGCCTCCAGGCCCTTCTCCAGCAGGTCCTGAGGGAAAACCACTACGAGCAGATAAAGGCAGTGAAGGAGAGAATGGGCTGAGCAGACTCAGCATTGCTGAGCCTGGCAAAAAGTGACAAAGGAACAAAGGTAGGACCTCTAGCCCTGCCCCAGGCCTCTGCAGCTCCCCCCCTGCTCCAACCCTGGGCACTGGAGTGGGAAACTGAAGGATTCAGGACCTGCCCCACTTGCAGGTTTCATCGACAACTCCCAGGACCAAAGCCACTGCCCACCCTGCAATCCCTCAATTCACCCCTCCAGTGTTGTTAGGCTTGAGGTAACTGCCACCCTGGTGGTGCTGGTGAACCCAGCCAGCTGAAGGCTCTGCAGTCCCTCCCCAACACCTGGCTCATGCAAGAGGCTGCTGGCATCTGTCTTTTAGCAGCCCCTTCCTGCCTACTTCTTGTCTTCCAAACCAAGTGCCTGGAGCAGAGCATGAAGCTGCTGCTCCTGCACACAGGGAACAGCTACTCACGTTTTATTGGGGCCTCAAACGATTTGGCAACTGTCACCATCACGTTGGTACCAAAAACCTAAGGGAAAGCAGAGGAGTCCGAGGTGACCATGGCTGCATGGGGGACATGATCAGTGGCATGAAGCTACAGGCATTTTTTCTACCAGCAGCACTGAGATGATACAGACAGGGTATCCCAGCTCCTGGGGAGAGGGCACACAGAGGGAACCCACTGGGCCTGCAGCACTGACCAGTCTGCATTCAGCCCCAGTGAGCCACTGTGATACAACATGTGAAAGGGTGCAGGGTGTTACCTGTGAGCAGGAGCCATCGGCTGAGGGTCCCAACCAACAGCAGGCTGCTGCCTGCTTCAACAGGGACCAGAGCACTCGCCAGATGAGCAACATTTTGCCCTGAGGTCATTTATTAGTATTGCACTGTCAGCTTTAAATGTTGGCATCTTTTGGAGAATGGACTGTAAGCACACAGGTCAACCACCCTTACTTCTATTCCTTTCCAGCTCCCAGCCTCCAGTCTTGGCTACACCAGCAGTAAGCAAATAAAGCACACACTGGCTAATGGTAGAGCTAGTGATTAATGAAAAGTCTTAGAGCAAGCACTCCTTTAAGGTGCAGTATGCTCTGCACTGTGCCAGGAAGTGACAGGACTCTACACTGAGACCAGGAAAAAGCATTATACGCAAGTTCTCCTCAGGATTATGCAGGGACACTATCATTGGTTGACTGAGCAATTCCTTTTCCTTCTTGAAACCCTCCTTGGATCTCACTGCAATTAAATCCACGCCAAGATCCAAGTGCCTGTTCCCTGCAGAAGGGCACAGCAAAGGGTTCTCTACTTTAGAGAGACTGATCAGCTGGGGACGCTGACCTTGATGGGCAGCAGCAGGAAGTGAAGAACGTGGAGCATGGTGTTTTCCAAAACACCCTGAGGATGCTCTTACTCCAAGCAGGGCACAAGGCATTGGTAAGGCTAACTGCTCCCAGTCCACAGCACTGGAGGAAGCAGCACGCAGACCAAGAAGCTGCACAGTGACACCTCTGACACATGCAGCACTGGCCAAGTACAAAATAAGACACAGTAGCCAGGCTTAAATAGCGAGGGATTACTCAGGCAGCTGTAGCACTGCTGGACAGACCTCAAGGTATGCAAGTTTTAAGACTTCTGGAAACAGAGTAGTTCAGAAAGTGGAAGCAGACAGGAAAAACTGAGGAATACAGACATTACACAGGACTCGTGAAAAAGGGATTCAGAACCACTGCAGAAAGATAAGGAAAACCTCAGAATAAAGACATTGGAGTGCTGTACTGGCTGAGGGAAAAATGCCTGGAAGCATTCCAGTATTTAGTTCTCTGTGCAAGAGAACAGAAGGATGCTAACGAAGCTGCCAGATGACAGAGCTGAGGAACTAATACAAGCAGGATCAGCATTATCCCAGAGCAGTCTCATCTTCCAGCCAGGCACAGGGCAGACCTTAGTTATAAATACAGGTCCCCAGGATAGGATGTGCTGAACACATGGGCAGCCTACAACAGCCAAGCTCCCAGATTAGATCCCTGCCCACCCTGGAATCTCCAAGCCAAATATTTTTTAAGATACATTACTGATCCACATTCTGTCATCATTTGATTCTGTCATCATCCCCACCACACCCTTTTGGGCTGAGGAGACGGAAATCCTGAGTAAAAGTACGTGTCCAGCCAGCATGCTGCCTCTGAAGAGGCACAAGGCCACGCACATGCCTTCTGCCAATGGCTGCAACTCGCATCTGCCCCAGGGAACGCTCCCGTTTACCCAGAAGACGTCGTAGATGAAGAGGCCCCCAAGCAAGATGCAGCCAGTGCTGACGTTGTTCAAGTGCAGCAGCTCCACTCCATTGAGGGAAAACGCCAGCCCGAAGAGATTGTTGGCAATCCAGTGCTGAAAACAACAGGAAGAGGAGATCTGGGTTCCATGGCACGTGCAGAGCCGTGGTCTTGCATCCCAAAACCCAGTTTTAGCCCAGTTCCCCCCAAGGACACTTGATGCTCACTCACCTTCCTCAGCAGGTACCAGACCCCAACAACACTGCTCAGGGCCAGGCATACGAGATCCTTGGTGTCAAACTCGTAATTCACTATTTCTGCAATAAAACAGAGAAGTCACACTTGAGGCAGTCCTGGCAGCTCTCCTTCCTGTGCAGAGTAGAGAGAGCCAAGTTCACAGCAGGGCACCAACACAGACCATAATCCCAAAAGAGGGGACTCTCTCTGCACACGGCCACACCCACAGTCACCACATCCAACCTGCACGTGAGCACGCAGCCCACACTGGCAAGACCAAACCTTCTTGTCAGACTCTGCCACATGGACAGCATCTGTGATGCTTCTGTCACTAAGGAAATTGGATTCAGACACTCTCCTATGGCAGATCTGCTCATTCCTTCTGCACCCAGTTAACTCCTGCTGCAGTCAGTCGAAGTATTCCTTTACCAGTAAAGCTACTGGACAGACACCTACCAAATCACAGCCTACCAGTGCAGAGACTTGAGTCAGATCAGTGGAGACAGCACTGCAGTCAGTACTACATTACCCAATGAGCTTAAAATTTAGTCCGTTTAACATCAGCTCCCCTCTGTAAAACTGTTTCAGGGGCTTCCCTACCAGCCAGAGGTAATCAACAGGGAGAGTGCCAGCCAGTGTAAGATGATGCATATGTCCGTGCAGAGCTCGTAGGGCTTACAGTAGGACACACAAGGCACAGCAAGGAGCAAGAGGCAAGTCTCTGAGGTTGTTCTGAAGGGCTGCATGTTGAAACAAATAAGCAAGAAACAGAAACAGACTGGCAAGCTAGCGTACCTTCCTTGCTCTCCCCGGAGCCCTGGGTGAAGAGGAGCTGGTACTGTTTGTTGGGGAAATTTGCAGGGAAGAATCTGTTCATCATGGGGCTGAAACGAGAGTTGGAGAAAAGGACAGTTCTAGAGAAATCCCACACGGGGCCCTGCCTTCACCTCTGCATGACAGCATTAAGTGTCAGCCTCCCAGCAGAACAAGGAAGTCCCAAGTTTTGCCACGTCAGGGCCTAGCGTAATCCCCAGCTTGTCACAAGCACGGGAGCTCATCCTACCCAGAGGTCTGATTTGCCTGCATGTGGCTGTCCCTAGAAACACTCTAAGGAAACAGACACAAAGCATCACGTGCAGGAAGCGAGAACTCATCCTTGGTGTGCACACACTGGGGACAAACAGTCCCCACGCACTGTACAGGTCTGCTCACCCAGAACTGACTATGCCACTAGAAGACAGCTCTGCTACTGAGCTGAGAGCAAAAATGAAGCCTGAGCAGAACAGCAGAACTGCTCTAGGGAAAGCATCTGGCGCCCAATGTCCCACAGCTCAGGAAACAGATTTTAGTTTGTCTGTTACTCAAACAGCACGAGGTTTCAGCACTTTGCACCAAACACTATTGCAAGACACCAAGAATGGTGCCACAAGATCCAGCTGTCAGTTTCAACTGTTCCAGAAAAGAGAACAGGGGTGTTGAGGACAGAGCAGTGAGGACAGTGCCAGGCCAGAGCAGCTCCTTGGGGTGTGATGTTGGTGGGACCCACACCTCCAAGAGCTCAAGGCAGGTGGGACTCCTGAGCCTTTGGAATGACCTGGCTCCCCTAGGAAGGGCTCACAGCACACTCAGGACCTGTCTCCCCAGAAAGCTGTCCAGATTCACCAGGATAAAACAGGCAGCAAGCCAGGACTTGGCTCTGCCACAAAGCACCACTGCTCCAGAACATCCAAATCAGCCCAATACCCTGCAGCCTTGTGACTGCACCCTACCTGATGGTGTGGGACAGGGCGAGGATCCCCAGCACAAAGAAATACATAGAAAGCAGAAGATTGATGTACTCTTGAGAGAATATCTGCAAGACAAAACCACAGAGAGGTTACAACTGCATTCTGCCAGCGTGAAGCACAAGAAAGTGCTTAATGTGGTAACTGGCAGCTGCTCCGTTCGTGCCCCAGGGAAACAGGAAGAAGAGTTGAAATAACCCAAATTCTTGCATTGCTAATATAAAATAAGTTGGAAAGAGCAAAACAAGCGCAACAGGCCTGTGAGTTGTTACACACCTATGAGCCACTCAGTTAAAAAAATAACTCCTGTGCTGCAGAAAAGAGGGCAGAGCCTCCCTACTGCATCCCCATGGGGCAGCTGGAGCAGAGAGTGAGGCAGTGTGCCACTCCCAGGGCAGCACTGCCTTCCCTGCCCCACTTTAGCAGGGTATTATTAGATCTCCTGCCCTCCAACACACACAATGCCTTTCCTCAGGATCACATCCCTAATTCAGAACGTGCTAAAGCCTACGTGCTCTCACAGGAGGAAGAATGCTGGAGCACCAGAGCTTAGAGCAGGATGCAAATATAAAACGGAAAAACCACACGCAGTGGTTTCCACGGTGTCAAGCTACACGTTCAGTGTGTCCTTTTCCTGGTGCCCAAAGAGGATCCTTGCAAAGGCCAAAAGGACCTGTGGATCTGAGGGTGCTTTATTATCCACCATCAGCAGAGGGTTGGCTGATACCCTGCTTTACTGCCACTGGCCTAAAGGAGGAGCTGATCTGAGCAGGGAACCAGAGGTGCTTGAAGTCAAGGCACCTTTTCCATATGGCCTAAAGCATCTACTGCTGGGACTGCTTCTCTGTGACTCAAGAACTCATTAACTCAGCTTGTTGGATCTGCACATCTAAGAGGCTTCATCTGGACACACATGGGCTTGCTCATCTTCACCAGCAATTCGCCAGGGTCACAGCTGAGACATCTTCAGAAGCACAGCAAGGAGCACAACAGACAGCAGCATCTGCAATTCAGAAGTTCCTGGCCCCCTCCAGTTTTGGTTTGTGTACCTCCAGATCACCCAAGGAGGCAGAAAGAGCCCAGGGGTGAACTCAACTCTCAGCTGCTCTGAATTACCCAAAGGCTATGCAGCCTGGGGAGAACTCTTGAGAACAGGCACAGCACAGAGAAGGTAGACAGCATGTTCATGGCACATCAACACTGTTTGCTCACTTACTTTAAAGAAGAGGTAGAGGCCCAGAAGGGTACAACTGGCAACAATGGGAAAGCGAGCAGCATCTCGGCTGGTAATGGTCTCCGGCATCTCTGAGGAGTTCTGGGGAAGGAAGGAGAGGACAGAAGTGGATTAATTGGTGGCCCGTGCTCTGGCTTTGTACCTAAGCAGACAGTCAGGGGCTCTCAGGGCTCCATGGCAGCACTGCCTCTGGCTCCCAGTCATCTGCAGAGTTGTGACTGGGTCACAGGCAGAGCCCAAGATGGAAAAAAGCAGACCTGTCTGCATTTGTCCTTCCAAGGACTGTCACAATTCACTGCATTTTTCCTCCTGAGAAGGGACAAACCCTGCCTCCCACACTGAAATTTTTCCTTTTTTGCTTAGAGCAACGCTGTGTACCTCGCTGCTCGTGCCTGGCCATTCCCACAGCCTCCCCATCTGTGCACACCATATGTCGCTCACCCTCTGAATGCCGTTTCTCTCCAATCACCTTCTCATTGCTCACCTCACTTCTGGGCCACTCCTTGTGCTCAGAAGGCCCAGATTCCTGGGCTTCAGTTTCCCAAACTGCTCTGCACCAACAACACAGCCAAACCCCCTCTGAGCCACTTCCCAAAACAGACCCCCAGCACCGGGCAGGACGATTGCCTCCCCAGCTCTTTTCCCACCACAGGAGGCACAGTGGCTGTGCTCTCGGTGCTGAGGGCTGGAACCTCGGGCAGCAAACTCCCCCATCCGTTGCTTCCCACAGCACACACTGGCAGGAGCCGCCGAGCAAAGCGACTGCAAAAAAACAGCAGTGCAGCCGAGGCACGGCTGCTGCCCAAGGAAACACCGCTTCCCGCGGCGTGCAAGAGGACAAACCCCCACAGAACCACAGCCACTGCCTGCTGCAGACCTCCCGCAGGCGGCTCCACCGCCCGGACCGTAAGAACAGCTGTAAGAACAGCTGACACCGTTACACCGAGGCACGGCGGCAGAAACGGGGGGTCAAAACAACAGCTGGGAGCAGCCCGCGCGCACCCCCAGCTGCCGGGCTCTGAGCACAGGGCTGGGACGCGAACCCCGGGCCCACCGGAGCCGGGCAGCGCGGCGGGGTTTTTCCAAACGAGGCGGGGCGGGGACAGCCGAGCGCCAAGGAGCTCCGAGGCCCCGTCAAACCGGAGCGGGGCGGGAGGCCGCGCGGGGGCCGCGCTGCCGGGAGGCCCGGGGATACCTTGCTCTTGGCGCAGCTGACGGAGCGCAGAGCCCCGAAGAAGATGGGCAACAGCGCCATGAGGACGAGGCTGCCGTAAGCCAAGGCGACGCCCTCGGGAGTGGCGGGAGGCCGGGCGCTGGCGGCGGGCACGGCCTGAGGCCCGGCGCTGCCGTTCTGCGCCTCCGCCATGGCGCCTGCTCCCGCCGCGCGCCAGGGACACGTCCCCCTACCGACCGGAAGTGCGTCACACGGCGCCGCGTCAGCGCCCGGCAACAGGGGGCGCGTTGCTAGGAGACCGAGCGCTGCCCCCCCCCACCCCCCCACCGCCCGGGCCTCGGCCTGAGCCCGACCCCCGCCTTCCACCGTCCGGCCCGGCTCCCAGCCTGGATCTCCCCCTTGTGGCTCGGAAGTCGAATGCTGTCCTGGGCTCCATCAGAAGATGGGTGGCCAGCAGGGAGGGGGAGGTGGTTGTTCCCCTCTGCTCTGCTCTTGTGAGGCCCCGTCTGGAGTGCTGCGTCCAAGTCTGGAGCCCCCAGTACAAAAAAGGCAGGAGAGGGTCCAGAGGAGCCACGAAGATGATCAGGGGACTGGAGCACCTCCCCTGTGAGGACAGGCTGAGGGAGCTGGGCTTGTTCAGCCTGGAGAAAAGAAGGCTGCGGGGTGACCTCATTGCAGCCTTCGGTACCTAAAGGGAGCCTACAGACAGGAGGGGAATCAACTCTTTGAAAGGGTAGATAACTGCAGGACGAGGG